GTTTTCTTGATTTGCAAATAATGACTCTCCATGTCTGTCGTTAAATTCCTAGAAATGGTTTTGCAACTCTTTCCAGTTTGACAGATGTCAGTAAATCTGATTCTTACCCGTAGTTGAATTTCTTTGGATCTGGGCTCCAAATTTATTTATTTATTTATTTATTTTTTGTACGTCTGGAAGTAGTTGGTTTCATCTGAAAAAATTTAAGTTTGATAAAAAAAAAAGAAGAAAAAGCTCAAAGAGATACTTTTTAAATATTAGATGTAGATTTCTTTAAATTACATTGACTTCTTTATTGCATTTTCTAACCGGGTTTTGTTTTCACATTGTGGAATGGAAAAAGAAAACAGGGCAAAATGTTGGGAGGAAGTGTGAAGCACAGTTAGAAAGCTGCTGGACACAGGAAATTACTCAATCCTACACATCCAATGGAAAACAAGCGAAACTGGGTAAATGTAGAACACATCCTGAGTGTAAAATCTGATTTTTAATCTGATCTTTAATTGTTTTAGCAAATAATCATGAAATAAAATGAAAGAAATAGGTGGCTTCATGGTTTTTAACAAATCATAATCGGTCATTTATACATTTGTGTTAGAAGATCTATGTAAAAGTATCCTTTGATTCAATCTTTTAGGATGTGTCACTGACAGGTTTGCATATGAAAAAAGGACTTTTATTTCGCCTCTTTTTTGCAATGAAGTTAAAGACTGAACTTATGCATCTGTGAAAAGCTACAAATTCTGGGTTGAATTTAGATCTGGACTTTGATTGGGTCATGAGAATACATCAATATTCTGTAATCCAGCCTGACTCGGAGTCTCAGTTCCATTTATGGCCATTGTTCTGTCGGATGGGGATCAGTCATTCCACCATCAAGTGTTTTCAGCCTTAAATAGATATTACTCCAGGATTAAACATAGTTTTAAGCATTTTCCTTTCAATGTGTCTGGCCTTGCTGAACAAGTATTTATGCATCATAAATCTGTCCCCATGCAGGATGATGTATTCAGGGTGCTGTGTGGTTTTCTTCCTTCCTGATGTATATTTTTTCTACCCTGGCTGTAGGTCTCTGTAGTTCCTCCAGTTTCCATAGAGCTGAACACTTCTCTGTATCCAAGCTGTCAGTTTGGTCAGAGGCTTGCTTTAATCATTTCCCGGTGATTTGAATTATCAACTGCACTGTAATCAGTCAAAGAAGTAAAAAAAAAATGGGGTATTTCATTTTTTGACTCTACCCTGCTGTTAATTTCACAGCAGTTTTATTTCTGGCTTTACATCGGATTTCATTTTATGGCGTCATCTTAAAAAGGGATAGTTACATATGCTTGTTTTTTTTTTTTTTTTCAGAAAGTTTTAGAGGCATGCTTCTGTAGTTAAATACAAGTTTGTGTTGGTTTGACATATAAAGCTGAAGTTTGTGGATGGAGCATGATGAAACGTGAGAAAGCTTGAAGTATATAAATGCTGCACTCCTTTAACTTCAACATTGAGTGGTTGATTTAAGAGAAAAAGAAAAGCTGGGAATCAGAAACGCTATGGCAAGCCGTTTTAACATAAATTCGGTTTCGTCTGACTATCCATAATTACGTTCCAGATATCTTAAAATACTTTTTGACTAGACAAAACCACATTTTGACTATCCGGAACGGTAATTTAAGATATCTCTATTTACAATCTGATTAGGAAGAATAATAATTCAAGATATCTTAAATCACATTTTGACTAGTCAAAATTCCTTTCAAGATATCTCAAATTACGTCACCAGATTCGTCATTTAAAGCGTCACACATCGGCAATTATAATTTAAGATATCTCGAACGTAATTATGACTAGTCAGTACTACAATTTTAGATATCTGAAATAAGAGATTGCGTGTAAGCCTCTTATTGGCTGTACTAAGCTGTTCAAACAATTGCCTGAAGATTCAATGGCGCTGGCAGTTTTGGACAAAATTGTGAGAAAATGCCACAATATCGAAAGAGCTTTTCATTATGGGTTATGCGGGGAACTAGAAAAACGCGGTCTTGAAGAATGCTTCAGAAATTTGGAAAGAATTTCTGATCAACTTTCTGCCGACACACACAACGCACTTAAAAACGGCTTAGATGAGCTGAAAGTGCTAATGTCGACCCATGTCCGATCTGGAAACAATGAATATTCCGCAGCCCGGGCCGGTTCAGGTAATAACCAGATGCAGTTTTTAATACTGTGGTATAGCAATGGCAAGCCGTTTTAACATAAAGTCGGTTGCCCTATGGCAAGCCATTTTAACATAAATTCGGCTTGCCATAGTAACTCTTCCTCTTCGGAAATTATAGTAAAGCCAGCTAGCTCTTGATTTTAACATGCTAGACGGCACAAGGCATTACAGCACCCTCCTTGAGCTCCTCTGAAAATAAAAGCGCACCTCCGCTTCATGTCTGATTCACACTTACATTTTTTTAAATTTTACTTTTATTTAAACAAATTCAAAATACTATTTCAAACAGCAGAAAAGTACAATTGAACAGATGCAATCCATAACGGCTTTTAAAAGATAAAAACAACAATATACACTTAAACAGACAATTAAAAAGAACCAGAAGGAAAAAATAGAAATAGAAAAACAAAATAAAACAAGTAACACAGGGGTTTAGCTGAAGTATACTGCTATAAAATCTGAAAACCTGAAGGATTTCTTATTTTCCAGTAACTTAATTGAGTCATGAAAACGTTTTCCTTGGAAATTGGGAGACATTTTAAAGAATCTGCACTTGTGAATAAATCTTTTTCTGATAATGAATACAACATTACATTAAAATTCCAAATTTCTGTCTTTTTATTTAGGAATCAAATTTTTTGGTGATAACCAATCATGAATCTTTTCCCAAAAACCTCACAGTTTTGACTCACTCATCCAAACCACACAACTGTAAAAAAGATGTTCTTGTGTTTCTAAGTCTTTGTAACAAAAGCTACATATACCAACAGCAAATTTAAATCATAAACTTAAGAGCTCTGCACAGGGATAGTCATTTTTAACTTCGATCTCTGAAAACACGTTTAAAGATAAATTCCTCTTAACTGGGAGAGGGAAACTTTTATTTATATGTTCTCGTATCATTTTGTTACTGAATTTGAGATCCGTAAAATTGTATTTATCTAACAGAAGAGTGGGGAAGATCGGTGCTACATCAGAATATTGAATCATTCCTTTGACCAAATTTATCATGGTTACCAGAATAGCCTTGATCAAAGATATAGTCTTTGTGGGCAAAATAAATTACATTTTCTTTTAAATTCTGTGTATTCTAGAATATCACCTTTTATGTCCATTAGATGTATGATTCACACTTTGTTGCTGTAAAGGTTTAAAGCTTTGTGTTTATGCAATTGCAATAGAAAAATATGTATATAGAAATAAATGTATACATTGTGTGAAATGCAGTGTCACCCTTAGAAGAAACAGGAACACACTTCTAGAGGATATACAGATATAGAGAAAAACAGATGTAAAAGTAAACATTATTCTGATACATTTGAATATGATTCTGTTTTAGGTGGTCGAGGTAGACCAGCTATTCATATTACAAGAGAGCAGATCGACTTTCTTTTGGCCCAAGGACACACGGTCAAGACGATGGCAAACATCTTTGGATGCTCAACATCTTTTCTTTATAAGAAGTCCAAGGCACTCGGTGTACCAATCAGGGGAAGGTTAGCTGCAGTGACTGATGAAGACCTTGAAACTAACATCAGACAACTTCAATCCCTGTACCCAAATTCTGGGACTGAGGTATGGAATCTAAATATATGGTTTCTGAACAATATGTTCAACAGTGGTATTGCAGGATACTAATTATATTATTTAATGTCAAGTGTCACAAATAATAAGACAATCATTTATCTTATGACCACATGTGAAATCTGAAACCTATTTTTAAAAGATTACTTTCAAAATGTTAAATTGTGAGGTGGTTCAAAATTGTAAGACCACATCCTTCCTTGAACCAGATGATGCGAGGCTTGTTGCATGCACAAGGACTACTGGTTCCACGGCGTAAGGTCAGAGACATGATGGCTCGAATCAACCCAATGGCTACTGCAAGGAGGTGGAGCAGTGCAGTGTCTCGACGTGTCTATCACGTGCCGTATCCCAACAGTTTATGGCATATTGATGGCAACATGCGTCTCATAAGGTATCTGAAAATATCATAGAAGTATTTCAGAGTCGATGTCTTAGAACTAAATTCAATATACACATTTGCATACATTATTCCTTATACATTTTTTGTATTTCCATTTAGGAAATACTCGCCTAATTACTTACTTGAACTGCAGCACAGACAATTGCGCCTCAACAGTGCTATTTCATTTTCTCAAGGCAACAGGCCTCTATGGCTTACCTTCTAGAGTGAGGTCAGATCATGGTGGCGAGAACATGCAAGTTGCACTGGTGATGAACCTCCTTCAGGGCATTGAACGTCGGAGTCATATAACTGGGGAATCCATCCATAATCAGAGAATTGAGCGTCTTTGGAGGGATGTTTTTTTACATGTTCTGGAACCATTTTATAGTACGTTTTATAATCTTGAAGATTCAGCCCTCTTGGATCCTAGCAACGATGTGCACAAACTTTCCCTTCATACAGTTTTTCTTCCTGAGATTCAAAGCCGACTAGAACAATTTAGAAACGCATGGAATCACCATTCCTTGCGTACAGAAAACAATAAAACACCAACACAAATCTGGACTGAACGGATGTTGGCAAACATGGGTGCCAACAGCACAGCAACAAACAACGTGTTTGGTGAAAATTCCAACACACCAGAGACTCTTGAAGAACTTCTGCAACAGCATGGCCTTGGGCCGCTAAGAACCACTGATGCTGAAGAGCTTCCTAGTGTAGTTGTAGAACCACCCCAAACCAGGCTCAGTCAGCGGCAACTTCAAGCTGTTAATCTTGCAGTCAATCATATTTCAGATCTGAAGGAGAAATACCAGGCTTGTTGTGCAGAAATTGCAAATGCTTTATTGATTTAAGTACATGTCACCATGTTTGAGTGAAAATCATCTAGAACATACTGTATGATGCATTGTTATTAAGATGCAATAACTACAAATAAAACTCATATACTCAAAAACCCTGAGACATTTTTTTTTGCAGTGTGGCTCAAACATCCACCTTTAAATTGTGAAACCATAAAGTGATTAATAAGAGATCTATTTGCAAAAATAAGAAAAATAATAAGTGCAATTATTGAATTTACATTTCAATGTTTTCCAAGTTTGGCCATTACATTAACTGTACAATAATACTGTAACTTGCTTTAAAACAATTAACTTTTGAGACCATTTCAACTTTTTTTTTCTTTTCTTAAAATAACTGCTTATTAGCTGATTATGCAACACCAAAGGTAGGTGCCTGCAGCACCCCGTCGGTCATGTACTTTGTGAAAGACTCATAGTCCGAGTGTACAGGAAGCCGGAGTACTATAAGGCAAGTATTTGCTTCTGGGAAGACTTTGTTAGCCTCATGGAGGAATTCAATTTGTGGACGATGGGGAAAGCCCAGTGGAGGTACCTTGGATGCTCCAGAAGCAAACTCCAGAAGCATTTCAAGAGTCATGGGACTGCATTCTCCTTCTGAAAGACAAAATGTTGAAATTATGACCTTTGTTATAAGGTTTCCAGTGTGTACTCTTAACGACATGGAAGAAAATGTGTTAAAATCCTTTGTTCGTTCCTCCTCCAACTTGTTATATTGGTGATGACAATGCATCTATTGTTCGTAAATATAAAAAACATTTTGAAGACAAATCATGACCAAGTATGATCATAGTAAATAGTAAGTAAAAGTATGCATTTATGCAACAAATTACCCAATAGATATTCACTGGTACAAGACTATTTCTATGGCAGATTAACAAAAAAATTTCAGGAAAGATTTTTCTAGTAATTTTACCATTTTTGGTCCTGTCACTAGCCATTTAAAAAGTCTGCATCTATACTATGATTACCTCATTTTCACGACTATAAGACGCATATAAACGTCTTTTTTTCCCCTCAAAATGTGTGGCGCGCTCTATAGTGCGGTGCGCCTTATGTGTGTTAAATACAGTAAAGGCAAACATGACTGAGACTGCGCCTTTTAGTACGGTGCGCCTTATGGTCGTGAAAACATGGTACTTCTTTTTGGACAGTGGTGACGAATCAGTCAAAATGTATTTGATACCGATTTTGTTTACAATATCACAATAAATGTACCTTCAATATCCACCAACCAGTCTCTCCAGTAGCATATGGTTAGATTTTCTATCCTCCTTTTATTGCTGCCTTGCACAGAAAAACACACTTGGAAAAGTGTGTACAGGTCCCGTGCCAAGAGTGGTTTCTCCTCACAGACAAACAATTCATGAAAGACTGCAGGGTTTTTCTGAATCTCGTCCAGCACATTCAGACTCTTCAAACCTTCCATAAACCTTTAAGAAATGAGAATAAGGTCTTACTTTTATAATAGAAGAATTCTAACAGAAAAAAGAAAAATTAGGATCTTGCTTACTGTTGCAACGCAGCGCACACTCGACCATTTACAAAGAAGTCTGCAGCAGATTGCACGAGGGAGTCCCTCTCTTCCAGAGTAGTTACACGCCTTAATGCTCCAATAATGCTCAAGGTATCTGCAGCCTGCATAATGGCTTCGTTTGCTTCCACAACTGTGTTTGCATCCTTAATCTAAAAAGAAATCAAAAAGGTTGTGAAACTGAATTTAAGCCATTTATCAATGTCCAAAACTCTTAAAATTGATACTAACTTCGATCAACTGCTGTCTGAAAGAATGGTTAACAACTTCCTCAACCAGGGTAGGTTTAGACAATGTGCCACAAATGTGGTCATACAGCCTTTGAGAGAAGAAGTGTGGTCCAATGCCTCCATGCACCAAACAGACTGATATCATTTTTCCAATACAGCTGTACATCTTTAACTCCAGCGCTGAAGGAGGGAAAAAAAAAAAAGTTACTTGACAATTTTCTATCCTTAACAATTGGGTGGGAAAAAAAAAAAATACTGACCACTTGTGTTCAAAGCTAGATGGCGGTCATTCTCATGCCCCTCAAAGACATTTGATTGATGAATGGCCCTCATTAAAAGTCGTAGATATTCTCGTGTGGGACCACCTTCATCAACTGCCCCTTCAGCGGTGTCCTCTTCATCCACAAAAACAACATCCAGTTTTGCTGCTGGATCAAAACGGCGTCTTCTGAAGGCATGCAGGCTACATTCTAAAATCCTGTCCCTGCACACATTTATTTGGTTGCTTGTAGGACAGGAAGTCATATCAACCTTGCTGTATAGTTTTGCTAATATAGTCTGAAGATCTGTTCTGTAAAAAGAAGATATATCTTATTATGTATTGTTAGAGTAAACAATGGTTTGCAACTGTCAAAATTGATTACACAAGACACTGCTAGAATATGCAGTTTTGACTCACTCATCCAAAGGCAACTCTGGTGGATGTTGAGAATCAGGTGGCTCTTCATCTTCCAGTAAAATTATAGTTTGCTCAGTTAATGGAGAAGTTGGTGCCTGGTCCTCAATGGTAATCACCTGTGGAGTCAGGGTAGAGTGGGGGGAGAGGGGCAGCCTTGAGGTTGCAACCAAAGAAACTTCTGAAGACAGCAAATCTGGTTGTACTTGAGTGGAGGGGTGGAACACAGGCGACTGGGAGGAGAATGAAGTTGATGTTTCTAAGGAGTTAGGCATGGTCGACAGCCATTGAGGAGATGTTGGGGCCAGTGGTGACTGGGCTGACAAAGATGTCTGTGCTTGCTGAGACAGCGACTGTTCCTGCACTACATTCGCCTGAACTGGATACCTTTCCTAAGCAAAATAAAACAAAAAACTAATCACGTCAATGTCAATTTGTTGTTTACAAACATCTTTATCTAGAGGCAATATTTGTCGCTTGTAGTTAATGAAGAGAAAACTTTAAAATCAAAACCCAATCTTGATTACACTGGAAAAAAAACAATCCTATTAAATGGCAATAGCAATATTAAGATTTTTAAAAATTGTGATTAGATAATTTTCTAAAAATCATTCAGCCCTAATCTAATTTTTAAAGGTAGGTTGTTCAAAAAATTAGGAGTAGTGACAGCGAATGCTGCTCCTATTCACTGTCAGTCTGGTCCAAGGAATCTGTAAGAGCAATTTATTATTTGACTGAAGTGTTCTAGTACTGGAATGTTCATAAAGAAGGTCTTGAAGATAAACAGAAGCAAGGCTATGTAAAGTTTTAAAAACCAATAAAAGACTTAAAATCAATCCGATAACCATCTAGTAACCAATGCAGAGAAACTGATCCTTGAGTTATACACTCTCGTTTCTGAGATCCAGTCAAAAGTCTAGTTGCAGAATTTTTAAACATTTTGGGAGAAAAAAGAAAAAATACCAAGATGACATTTTATGGGATTTGTACGGTGGCTGAGAAGTGCAAAACACATTTACAATTCAAAAACACATTAACAAATAAAAAACAAAATAACATTTGAAGAAACAAAATTATATTTTATGAAACAAATGTATTTTTGAAAAGTTAAAATTTTTAAAAACAAATTCGCATTTTAGGAAACAAATTCACATTTTAGGAAACAAATTCACATTTTAAATAAGTTAGATTTTAGTGAGAGAAAGTTTCATTTTAGAGAAAAAAAAAATACATTATAGGGAAACAAATTTACATCTAAAAAAAATTGACCATTCGGAAACACTTGTACAAGTGCAAAGACAAAACTGCAAGCAGCAAAACAGTTAAATAGCCAAAAACAAATGAACAAAAGACGGCTACACGGAAAGGGAATGTCCCAGTGGGCGGATGTGACGTCACCATTACCCTGACTTGTAGTACAAACAGCTCAATCTGTAGTCCTCCTGCTTCACGTGAAAAGTCAGCTGCGATTTTAGATGGAAAGAATTGCACTGAAGCTGTTTTTCTTAAGTTTACACTAACCAAACAATGTTTTGCCCTTATTGTGGTCTCTGGAACTTTTACGGGAAACGGACCAGGTGGCAGGACCAAGCAGCAGGGCCGAGCTCAATTCGTGGCAGTGGCTGCGTTGCAGCAGTTCCGGTGGTCCTGCCATCTGGTCCGTGTCCCGTAAAAGTTCCCGAGAGCGTCCGCACGAAGAACAAAATGGTGTAAATTGGCTGAAATTTGCTCCACAATAATAAAATCGCCGCTGACTTTTCATGTGAAGCAGGAGGCCTACAGATTGAGCTGTTTGTACTACAAGTCAGGGTAATGGTGACGTCACATCCGCCCACTGGGACATTCCCTTTCCGTGTAGCCGTCTTTTGTTCATTTGTTTTTGGCTATTTAACTGTTTTGCTGCTTGCAGTTTTGTCTTTGCACTTGTTCAAGTGTTTCCGAACGGTCAATTTTTTTTAGATGTATATTTGTTTCACTATGTATTTTTTTTTCTCTAAAATGAAACTCTCTCCTCTAAAATCTAACTTATTTAAAATTGTGAATTTGTTTCCTAAGATGTAAATTTGTTTGCTAAAATGTAAATTTGTTTTTAAAAATGTTAACTTTTCAAAAATACATTTGTTTCATAAAATCTAATTTTGTTTCTTCAAATGTTATTTTGTTTTTTATTTGTTAATGTGTTTTTGAATTGTAAATGTGTTTTGCACTTCTCAGCCACCGTAGATTTGGACTTAATTACTTTACCTGAATATCTACAGTTGAAATCCAAAGCACGTACAAAGTTACAGATGTTGTTATGCCATGATCCATCAGTGAGCCTGATGAGGTACTCTCAATTGGTGTGGATGACGTTGCTTGTTGAACACTGAATATTTCACTGGCCATTTCATCTTGTCCAACAAAGTCAAACAAGAACTTTAAAAAAAGGGTAATGTAATTTTAGTTACTTTAAAAAAAAATAAAAAATAAAATCATATACAATCTCTGAATTAACACATTACCTGAATTGGATCAGACACATTGAATGTTCTCTTTGTGATAAATCCATTTGGATATTTGAACTTCAAAAGCAGTCCAGTTGAGGGTTCTTCATGTACCGCCAGTCTTTGCCGGCGTTCTTCAATTGCCTAAAACATGAGCACTAAAGCTTTTTGGGAATTCATAAGCAACTATCATCCTAACAATGTAACAGTTCTAACCTTTATGCGTCTTTCCTCCAAGGCCTTGTAACACTGTCTTCTCCTTTCCTGGTAGAAAAAAAAAATTGTGAGTAACAACAACAGCAACAACAAATGATGATATCAAAAATGGTAATTCACTTTTTCTTGGTCTGCTAACAAAGACTCTTCATAGTCTTTGTCTTGCTGGGACCGCAGAGATCGCCAATCTAGAAGTGTCTATTGTGAATACAGCACAGAGATTGTTAAAGTCAACATCAGAAATGAGATAAAAATGTAAAATGCATATATTGTTCTTGAAATGAATGACCTGCTCTTCCCCCAAATTTCCGGTGGTCCTCTCAACCTCTGGAGAGATATTCTGTACTTCTGGTGCAGTTGAGGGTTCTGGAAACAAGGTCCTGGACATTGCTGCTGTTGAGTAGGTTTCCTAGACATGGCAAAGACATTTCAAATTATGATGGAATACAAAATGGTGGATACATCAAATTATTTTTGTGTACAAAAAAAATATACCTGTGACACATCTGCTCGTGGTAGAATGTAGAGTCTGCTTTTGCCAACCTTTTCCTTCAGCTCCCTCACAGAATTCACCTGTAATTTTTTTACCTTTCGTCCTTTTCCAGCTCTTGCCAGTTCAAAGCCAACCAGATTTAGGCTAATGTGTGGGTAGCTTTGACACACAAAGTTGTTCAGTTCAGACAAGCTCCAATTCAGGTTAATTTTAGAGCTCCTGGTTTCTGTCCCCTCATGCACAGGGTTGCCTGAATAATCAAGGGTGACAAAACAATGTTAAACACAATACCAAAGACCACACCAATTAAGTTTAAATTGGTGCTGTCAGTTTTAAAACGTTAATACGTAAACTTTTTTTTCCCCACCCATCTCTCCAGACTGTTTTTTACACTCTGTGCTTTCCGTAGTTTCAAGAACACTAGAGACTAGAGCAAAACTTACCCATGCTCACTGTTGCCAACACTGTATTTCATGCAACTTTGGGCTTCTTTTTTCTAAAGTTGTTTTTAAAATTCACATTAATTTGCACATTGTGTTGACATCAGGGCATCATGATTAATGATGTAGCCATTATAGGCAAGAGTTTAACATTTTATGGTACCAATTATCCATTTTTCCATTTTCCATTATCCCAGTTATGAAAATTGCCAGAAAAGTGCTTGAAAAAAAAAAAATGCAAATATGTTTTGTATAAGCATGTTTTTTATTAGTATTATTTTTTGAAAAATTGCACATTAAAATGTCCAGACAGGCTACTACACTTTCAGAAATAAAAGGATTAAATATGTAATTAATCTCAAGTTAACAATTGAAATTATGTGATTGATTTTGATATAAAATTTTAATCGTTTGATAGCCCTAGTTTAAATTCATCAGCCCACCAGATAACTCTGGTGAAAGACTAAAATTATGAATTACAACCCAAATAGAGATGTTAAAAGCAAAAGTAACTCCGTCTGTCACATTATGAGGGTGTAAGAAATAATGTAATTTTTTGAAAACATATGCCCACCTAATCCATGGTTCTTCAGTCTTTGTACATCCGAGGGAGAAGGGAGAACGTCAATATTAGGGCCAGAAAGCAAGAAAATGTTTGTCTTCCATACAGGGCTTGGCAGCCTCCCAACCGAACCTGCAGTGAACACAACAGAATCACACCATTGATCCAACATAGAGGATAAATGATATCCTATAATCAAGTGTGCCAACTGGGGTTGCCACTTTCCATAACTTTCACTAAGGAACGCCCACCATGGTTTCTCAGGTAGATATTGAAAATTGTGCAATTGCCAAAGTAAACCACATTATTTGTTATGTGTTTTTTGGTAATGACGTGATCAACAAAATTACTCATACATAAAAAAAAAAAAAAGATGTCAATGAAGAACTTACCGAGAGAAACTGGTGTATATAAGGTGCTTTTAAGTAACACAAAAAGTAGGGTTGCCAACCGTCCCTTGAAAAAAGGAATCATTCCGTATTTAAAAATCAAAGTACCTTTCCTGTATTTAGTGTAAAAGAAACACTTTATCCCGTATTACTGTGGGAGTAAAAATTGTAAAAAGCTAATGGAAAATGAACAAGGGCACATTGGATACAAAAATTATGCTAAACTTGTTCCCCTCCCTGTTCTGCATTGTGACCAATGAGCTGACAGCATACATGTAATGATCCAGAATCCCCTCATCCCATTGGTCGAGCCAAGTTTTGCTCACGGAGAAGATAGCGGGAGCAGTATGGGGGACGAAGGAGTCCTGTAAATGCCAATGCTGCTTCTGGGGGCGGTGCACCTTCGCACAGCGATACCCCTCAGCATCCCATCTTCCACTGGTTTTATGGAGAGGATTTTTATCCTTAATGAAGAACAAATGGACTGATGTGCAGAACAAATGTTCCAAGAATTAATTAAAGCTGAGCTCATTGTCAATTATGAACTTTCCTGCTCAGAGTTTTACTCTGCAGCACTGAAAGACAACTCACTGCTGCAAGTGCTCAGAGGAAATACAAGTGGATAAAGTATGCCATCACCACATTATGTGCCATTGAGCTAATTATTATTATTATTATTTTTTTTTTTTCAGTTTTACAACTGAAGTCTACGGTCATTGAATTTAAGGCACAAATATGTTTAAAAGTCTGAAGAAGTTTACTGTTGCACCAAAAATGCACACTATTTATTTATTGTTTTATATTCATTTTTACAGTTTGAAGTTAAGCAGGACATGCATGTTTAAGATACTTATTTTATTCAGCAAATTTTGTTATTTTGTATTAAAGTGTATTGCTGGATAATAATTTGTTTTTCCATGTGTTCATGTCACTCACAAATAAGCATTTAATTCAATGCAGATTTTAGTCAAATAGTAAAAACAAATATTTTCACGCACAAAGGGGGGCTAAAACAAAATCCCCACACCAGGAGGGGTGAAGGCAATCAGGTCAGCTGGCATACCATAAGGTGTCCCTTCCCCCCCCCAGGGAGTTGGCAACCCTAGCAACAAGACATCACCATTTTGAATAAGGTGCTTATAGAAGTTTTACAAATCAAATTAAAAAAATATGTAGATAATCAAAATTGTGAAATTAAAATGTGAAAGCCAATAATTACATTTTTCATAATGAACAAAGACTGCGATGGAGTTGCAACATGTCAAAGGTGTACCCTGCGTATCGCCTGTTGCTGGTGCAAAATGAGGAACAAATGAAATACTCCCACATCGCTTCAATACTGGAGTATTCCATATTTTATAGACAATTCCATATTTTATTTTAATAGGGCGGATGCCAACTCCAGGCTGCTTCAAGTTTCCTAATTAATATTTTCATTATTCCACTAGCACTAAGCTAACTTTGCCAGGAAAGTTACAGTTATATGAACCGACATCTGAACATCTACTTACCTTGACTTCTCTGCACTTGACGTCGAAAAAGTCTCCTTGTTGCAGAGAATAAATTCTCCGTATTTCTTAATTCATGTCGAGCACGAGTTGCAGCACTGAATATAGTGTTAAAAACACGAGCATTTGAGGCGGACTGACCTGACATTGCGGACCACTGAATAGCCGAATCAATTAGCTAGCATGACTAACACCTGTCCGCCAAACTGCTACGCAAATCTCAGACGTTTTTGATGTATGGCAAGATATCACTGATGTCATTGTGACTAGTCAGAATGTCAATTTAAGATATCTTTAATGGAAAAGCTGAATAATTCAAGATATCTTTAATTCATTTAGAGATATCTTAAAAGGAATTTCGAATAGTCGAAATTACAATTCAAGATATCTTTAAATTAGTTTTGTCTAGTCATTATTTGCTTTTAAGATATCTATAATTGAGTTTTCACTAGTCAAAACTGCATATCTCCTATCCTAAAATACATTTAAGATATCTTGAAATATGGTGGCATTTGAGATATCTTTAATTAGAATTATGACTAGTCAAAACTAAAATCGAGATATCTTCAATTTCCTTTATGACTAGTCGTAATTTAATTGTAGATATCTGAAATGTGTATTTCAGATAGTCAGTAATTAATTCTAGATATCTTAAATTGACGTCTCCATACAAGTTAATGGTAAATCTGACGTCATTTCGACTAGTCAGAATGTAATTAGAGATATCCCGAATAGGAATTTTGACTAGTCAAAATATATTTACAGATATCTTAAATCACTAAAACGTCTAGTCATAAAACAATTTGAGATATCTTGAATGTAAAGGTGGAGCAGCCGAATTTATGTTAAAACGGCTTGCCATACATTTTGACTATCCGGAACAGTAATTTAAGATATCTCTATTTACAATCTGATTAGGAAGAATAATAATTCAAGATATCTTCAATCACATTTTGACTAGTCAAAATTCCTTTCAAGATATCTCAAATTACGTCACCGGATTCCTCATTTAAAGCGTCACACATCGGTAATTATAATTTAAGATATCTCGAACGTAATTATGCCTAGTCAGTATTACAATTTTAGATATCTGAAGTAAGAGATTGCGTGTAAGCCTCTTATTGGCTGTACTAAGCTGTTCAAACAATTGCCTGAAGATTCAATGGTGCTGGCAGTTTTGGACAAAATTGTGAGAAAATGCCACAATATCGAAAGAGTTTTTCATTCTGGGTTATGTGGAGAGCGAGAAAAAAAGCATTCTTGAAGAATGCTTGCGGAATTTGCAAAGAATTTCTGATCAACTTTCTGCCGACACACACAACGCACTTAAAAACGGCTTAGAGGAGCTGAAAGTGTTAATATCGACCCATGTCCGATCTGAAACAATGAATATTCGGCAGCCCGGGCCGGTTCAGGTAATAACCAGATGCAGTTTTTAATACTGTGGTAAAGCTTTCTGCCTCTTCGGAAATTATAGTAAAGCCAACTAGCTTTTGATTTTGACTTGCTAGACGGCACAAAGCATTACAGCACCCTCCTTCAGCTCCTCTGAAAATAAAAGCGCACCTCCGCTTCATGTCTGATTCACACTTAGATTTTCTTTTTATTTTATTTTATTGAAAAACAAATTCAAAATACTTTTTCAAACAGCAGAAAAGTACAATTGAACAGATGCAATCCATAATGGTTTTTATAAGATAAAAAACTATAAACTTAAACAGACAAAAACTTTTAAAGAATCAAAAGGAAAAAATTGAAAAAAAGAAAAACAAAATAAAACAAGTAACACAGGGGTTTAGCTAAAGTATACTGCTATAAAATCTGAAGACCTGAAGGATTCTTTATTTTACAGTAACTTAAGTCATGAAAACGTTTTGCTTGGAAATTGTGAGACATTTTAAAGAATCTTCACTTGTGAATAAATCATTTTCCAATAATGAATATAATATTACATTAAAACACTTTTAGTAAGCTTGAAAAAATTCCTCTCCAGGTTATCATTCCAAAGTAGTCTTTTTCTGTAGAATTTCATCAATCCATCCAGTTCATGAAACACTCCTTTTTTCTAGCTTTAAAGAAACACTACAGAAAATAGCATCTGTTGACACAAATTGTTTTCCTCCACTTTAGGAATGCAAAGATCCAGGGACAGAGCAGGGGGTCAGTGGGAACCCTACTGCTGCCACCTGGCCCTGGTTTGTCCTCATGGATGAGGTATTAGGACAGAGGCCCTCTGTTAAACTCACCTGTCCTAATTGCCTCCATCCCTGAGGACACACCAGGGCCAGGTGCTGCAGAGGCTGAGCAGCATCAGGGTGAAGAGAATGAGGATGAGAGAGGAGGGAAAGGAGGAAGAGAAGAAGGAGAGACGAGATGGTTGACTTAATGAGGGAGGATATCAGATGGCAGAGGGAGGAGGGAAAGGATGGACAGATTATTTAATTTATTGGAGAGGATGGTGGACAGATGTTGATTTTTTGTTTTGTTTTGTCTTTTACAAGTTGAGGTTCTGTGTTGCTGTTATTGTTAAATTAAATTATTAAATTGTTTATAAAAGTTATTGTTGTCGGTGTGTCTTTTAAACTTTTTACATTATCTGTTTCATCACTTCTTTACAATTTAACCCCTTGAACCCTACGGACCCACCGGTGGGTCCAGCTGCTACGTGACCTCGTAATTTTAACAAACCACCAATATTGATGTAAAAAACACATTTGGCACAGTTTGGTGACATTTTTGGATAAATGTGCCAAAATGGCCTCTCCGCCTAAGAAATTTCTCACTAATACCATTCTAAAATAAATATGATTCATGAGTCCAAATTTGGTATATTTTTACACAACATTTAGATTTAAAAGTCTGTACTACTTTTTTGTGCTATAAATAATATTTTGATAGTGTTTTGCAATGTTTATTTCAAAGAAAATTTTGGCGAGGTTCAAAAAATGCAAAATATTTTGTCCCTAATATTTCAGGCAGGGTCAAAGCTACAATGGTGCTGACACCAGAAAACCATTCTATGACATCTTACCTTTACAGAGGTACCAAAAGTTTCTTCTTAAATCTAATAGCTTTGAGGCTATAAGTGATTTACTTTTGTGTGTTTTTGTCAGGCGGAAATTTATTTATTCCCCCCGAGGGTGTAAGAAGTTAAGTAAACTTAGAACAACTTCTCAGTGACAACATCAGTTTATTTTTTAGAGAAGCAAGTATTTACAATAAACTATTAAAAACATTTTTAACTACATTAGATTTTAAAATTAACTACTACTATTTACGGAAGATATACAATAATTATTACTTGAGAACATATATATATACACAATTGTCACTGAGCAGGAGTCCCTGGTGGTGCTGCTGGACTGGATGGGATGGGATGCCACACAGATGAGCTTGGAGTCTTCTAACTGCGAGTGGGACATCATCTGGGGGGTCACCAGCTCCCAGGCAGATGTTGTGCAGGACAGCACATGCCATTATGACCTGTAGAAAAAAGGAGACAAAATTTTTTTTTTTAATTCAGTCATCTATCTTTTTTCATTATCTTTGCTACATGAATTATTAGAAATTTTATTTTACCTAATCTAGATCCACTATTTAACTTTTTTTTCTTTCGTTTTTAGATTTAGATTTTTTTTTCTGTTTTCTGTTTTTGTTATATAATTGCAAATAAAATCAGGCAGTAAGGGGATAATTTAGACAAATAATGATTTATTTCTCAATCTAACACAGTTTGGGTTCTCAACACAACATTAGTAATGGTGAAAGTAGTGATTTAAGTCAGTTATTTACAGGGTTTGTACACATTTAACTATGCAATTCAAATTACTAAAGTTACAAACAAGCTTATATCAAGTCTTACAAATGAATCTAAAATTTGATAAACATATTCGTCAATCTGCTGACAAACGTTTGTTTAATAGCTGGTATATTCTGATCATTAGCAGGCCCCTGTGGGGGAAAATAATAACATGTAAATGTTACCTCTCCACTGCGCTCTCCCAGCCTGAGAAAAATCCGTCGACGGTTTTGCTGCCGCCAAAGCCGTCAAAGCCGACTCTCCTCCTCCAATACTAAGTAAATAAAAAATAAAATAAAAATTTCCATATCCCAGCCATCGGAGCATCCTCCTGGGTCCTCCTAAGGCTGGGTAGGCTGGGTCCTTCGAAGAACGCAGCCTGCAAATTGAGACGCAGCTATTGTGGACCGCTGAATAGCACAATCAATTAGCTAGCAAGGCTAACACCTGTCCGCCAAAACGCTACGCAAATCTCTGACGTTTTTGATTTATGGCAAGATATCACTGATGTCATTTTGACTAGTCAGAATGTCAATTTAAGATATCTTTAATGGAAAAGCTGAATAATTCAAGATATCTTTAATTCATTTAGAGATATCTTAAAAGGAATTTCGAATAGTCGAAATTACAATTCAAGATATCTTTAAATTTGTTTTGTCTAGTCATTATTTGCTTTTAAGATATCTATAATTGAGTTTTCACTAGTCAAAACTGCATATCTCCTATCCTAAAATACATTTAAGAAATCTTGAAATATGGTGGCATTTGAGATATCTTTAATTAGAATTATGACTAGTCAAAACTAAAATCGAGATATCTTCAATTTCCTTTATGACTAGTCGTAATTTAATTGTAGATATCTGAAATGTGTATTTCAGATAGTCAGTAATTAATTCTAGATATCTTAAATTGACGTCTCCAAACAAGTTAATGGTAAATCTGACGTCATTTCGACTAGTCAGAATGTAATTAGAGATATCCCGAATAGGAATTTTGACTAGTCAAAATATATTTAGAGATATCTTAAATCACTAAAACGTCTAGTCATAAAATAATTTGAGATATCTTGAATGTAAAGGTGGAGCAGCCGAATTTATGTTAAAACGGCTTGCCATAGAACGCATCTGTGTGTAATTAATGAAAGGGTCCATGAGTTTTCTGTTCCCTGCACTGAACGATACAGCGTGTACTAGAATTCCTGAAGCATTATTTCTGTCTCTTTGTACTGATTTATATATAACTGTTCTTGTCTGTCGTGTTTCACATATTTTACATAATTTTGAGAGGTTTCAGTGATAGATAACATCTCGGTGAACTTGAGGAAACAGCTGCCAATCCATCAACCTGTT